GATGAAAAGAAGGCATTTGAATGGTATTTAAAATCTGCTGAGAGTGGTAATTCGAATGGACAAAATAATATTGGATGGTGTTACCAAAAGGGCATAGGAACAACTAAGGATGAAAAAAAGGCATTTGAATGGTATCTGAAATCCGCCGAAAGTGGCAATACTAAAGGACAGTGTAATGTTGGATTATGTTATTATTATGGCGAAGGCACTACAAAGGATAATAAAAAGGCATTTGGGTGGTATTTAAAATCCGCTCAAGGCGGCAATTATGATGGACAATATAATCTTGCATTGTGTTATCATTATGGCAAGGGCACTACAAAAGATGAAAAAAAAGCATTTGAGTGGTATTTAAAATCTGCTGAAGGTGGCAATTCCAATGGACAGTGTAGTCTTGGGTCTTGCTACAAAGATGGTATAGGTACATCTAAGGATGAATTCAAGGCATTTGGGTGGTATTTAAAATCTGTTAAAGGTAGCAATTCAAATGGACAATATAATCTTGGAAACTGCTATCGAAATGGCATAGGCACTGAAAAGGATGAATTCAAGTCATTTGAATGGTATTTAAAATCTGCTGAATGTGGCAATGTTCAAGGGCAAAATAGTCTGGGATTCTACTATGAAAATGGCATAGGTACAGTTATGAATAAAAAAAAGGCATTTGAGTGGTATTTAAAATCTGCGAAAGGCGGTAATTCCGACGGGCAATACAACATTGGATTCTGCTATAGAAATGGTATTGGAACTACAATAGATGAACGAAAAGCATTTGGATGGTATTTGAATTCTGCTATAGGTGGTAATTCTCGTGGGCAATATAATCTTGGAGTCTGCTATGAGGTGGGCATAGGCACATTCAAGTGTAAAGAAAAAGCATTTGAGTGGTATTTAATATCTTCAGAAAATGGTAATGCTCAAGGACAATGTAATCTTGGACTCTGCTATCAAAATGGTATAGGTACAATTAAGAATGAAAAAAAAGCATTTGAGTGGTATTTAAAATCTGTCGAGAGTGGTAATTTGAATGGACAAAATAATCTTGGATGGTGTTACCAAAAAGGCATAGGCACAACTAAGGATGAAAAAAAGGCATTTGAATGCTACCTGAAATCTGCTGAAAGTGGCAATTCAAATGGACAATTTAAACTTAGAAAATACTGTCTAGATAAGATGGGTACGTCCGAAGATGAAGAAAAAGCATTTGAGTGGTATTTAAATTCTACTGAAGGGGATAAAATTCAAAACCAAAAATCTACTGAAGGAGATAAAATTAAAAAACAAAATAATACATTCCAATGCAGAAATGGCATGCGTAAGAAAAATAGAAGAAAAATTATATTGAGCCTGTATCGTGAAGATTTTGGAAGGCAATGGAACACTAAGGATAAAACAAAGGCATTTAAGTTTCATTTAAAATCTATTAAAGGTAGCGATTTTGATTGGAGATGTGGTCTTGGATTCTGTTATATAAATGGCTTAGGGACCGTCAAAAATGAAACAAAAGCGTTTGAGTGGTATTTGAAATCTGCTGAAGGTGGCAATTCGGGTGGACAGTGTTGCCTTGGATTCTGCTACCAAAATAGCATAGGTACATCTAAAGATGAAAAAAAGGCATTTGAATGGTATTTAAAATCTTCTGAAGATAGTAATGATCAAGGACAATACTACCTTGGATTATGCTATCAAGATGGCATAGGAACTGTTAAAGACGAAAAAAAGGCATTTGAATGGTATTCAAAATCTGCTGATAGTGGGAACTCGAATGGACAAAATAGTCTCGGATTTTGCTATGAAAATGGCGTAGGAATTATTAAGGATGAAATAAAAGCATTTGGGTGGTATTTAAAATCTGCTGTAGGTGAAAATTTGAATGGGCAATATAGCCTTGGAAATTGCTATATAAATGGAATAGGCACTCCTAGAAATGAAAAAAAAGCATTTGAATGGTATTTAAAATCTGCTGAAGGTGGAAATTCTGATGGACAATTTAATCTTGGAAACTGCTATCAATATGGTATAGGCACGGCTAAGGATGAAAAAAAAGCGTTTGAATGGTATTTGAAATCTGCTGAGGACAACAATTCAAATGGACAATTTAATCTTGGAAACTGCTATCAATATAGTATAGGCACAATCAAGGATGAAAAAATAGCATTTAAATGGTATTTGAGATCCGTTGAAAGTGGCAATTCGAATGCGCAATTTAATCTTAGAAATTATTATCTAAATAGCATAGGAATCTATGATGATGAAAAAAAGGCATTTGAGTGGTATTCGAAAGATGATGATTTTCGTAAATATGGTAAAGAAAGGCTGTACTTGAAATCTACTAAAGGAAGTGATTTTGATTGGCAATGTAGCCTTGGATTCTGCTATATGAATGGAATTGGGACCATCGAAAACGAAAAAAAGGCGTTCGAGTGGTATTTGAAATCGGCCGAAGGTGGCATTTCGGGTGGACAATGTAGTCTTGGATACTGTTATGAGAATGGCATAGGCACATCCAAGGATAAAGAAAAAGCATTTGAATGGTATTTAAAATCTTCAGAAAATGGTAATGCTCAAGGACAATGTAATCTTGGATTCTGCTATCAAAATGGTATAGGCACAATTAAGAATGAAAAAAAAGCATTCGAGTGGTATTCAAAATCTGCTAAAGATGAAAATTCAATTGGACAAAATAATCTCGGGTATTGTTATGAATATGGCATAGGCACATTAGAGGATGAAAAAAAAGCATTGGAATGGTATTTGAAATCTGCGGAAGGTGGAAATATTCAAGAATGTGACTATATTGAATTATACTACAAAAATGGCATATGCACTACCAGAGATAAAAAAAGAGCATTTAAAATGATTTTGAATTCTATTAAAGATGGCGATTTGGATGTGCAATGTAGTCTTGGATTCTGCTATTTAAATGGTATAGGAACAGTTAAAGATGAAATAAGAGCATTTGAGTGGTATTTGAAATCTGCCAAAAGCGGCAATTCAGGTGGGCAATGTTTTCTTGGATTCTGTTTCGAACATGGCATAGGCACATCTAAGGATGAAAAAAAGACATTTGAATGTTACTTAAAATCTTCCAAAAATGGTAATGCTCAAGGACAATTCAATCTTGGATTCTGCTATCAAAATGGTATAGGCACTAATAAGGATGAAAAAAAGGCATTTGAGTGGTATTCAAAATCGGCTGAAAATGGAAATTCCAATGGACAATATAGTCTTGGATTTTGTTATGATAACGGCATAGGCATTATTAAGGATAAAACAAAGGCATTTGAGTGGTATTTGAAATCTGCAGAAGGTGGAAATTTGAATGGACAAAATATTATTGGATTTTGTTATGAAAATGGTATAGGCTTTATTAAGGATGAAATAATGGCGTTTAAGTGGTATCTGAAATCTGCTGATGGTGGCAATTTTACCGCGCAATACAATATTGGATTTTGCTATGAATATGGTATGGGCACCATTAAGGATGAAAAAATTGCATTTGAATGGTATTTAAAATCTGCTGAAGGTGGCAACTCTGATGGACAATATAATCTTGGATTGTGTTATCATTATGGCAAAGGTACGACAAAGGATGGAACAAAAGCATTTGACTGGTATTCAAAGTCCGCTAAAAGTGATAATTCTGATGGACAATGTAGTCTTGGATATTGCTACCAATATAGCATAGGCACTATCAGTGATAGAATAAAGGCATTTATATGGTATTTAAAATCTGCCAAAGGTGGCAATTCTAATGGACAATTATATCTTGGAAATTGCTACTTAGATGGCATAGGCATAGCTAAGGATAATAAAAAGGCGTTTGAGTGGTATTTGAAATCTGCTGAAAGTGACAATTCAACTGGGCAATCAAATCTTGGAAACTGTTATAAAAATGGCGTAGGCACAGCCAAGGATGAAGAAAAGGCATTCAAGTGGTATTTAAAATCCGTTGAAAGTGGCAATTCTATTGCACAGTATATTCTACTAAGAAGGGAAAGAGGAAGACGAGGCTATAAAAATTTCTGAAGGATTGAGACAAGCACTTGTTGTTGGAGAAGTAAATTTTATGTTGTCCCTTTGAAGAAGATCTGGAAAAGCGACATCACTAAATTATTTTAATCTGAAAATTTTACTAAAATTTTGCTAAATTTTTAAAATCTGATAAAAAAATAAAAATTATGCCCTTAATGATATTAATTAAAATATGGGCTTGGTGTTGGAAAAAGAGCCCAAATTGTTAATTTTTTAAAAGATTTTTTTTTATTTAGAATAAGATTAGGATCGTTTTACTTAAATTACAAAAGTAGTTGTATTAATAAAAATTTTGCAGTATAGCTCATTAAAGGGTGTATTTTCTTATGATCATAAGATTTATACATAAAAATTGATTTTTCAAAGATCTTTTTTTTTGTCAACTTAGGCCCTTTTCTCAGCACCAAGCCCATATAATTCATACTAACAAATTTATTACTATCATTATGATAAATGAAATAGTTAAAAAAATAAAGTGATAATATGCAATATTTAAAGGAATTAAATAAATAACCAAGATAAAAATGAATTTTCAACTAGTATGCTTATATTTAATCTATCTATTGTCGCGGGCCATAATGAAATCAGAATGAGTGTTCTATTTAACCTTCTAAAACCCACTTATACTAACCCCTAACCCTAAAAAATGCACCTTATACGGTCTACTCTTTCTATACCGAACCCTCGGTTCTGGCCAAAAAAAAAGTTCGTTATATAGAATTACTATGTTTTCTTAATAGCCATAGCTCTTGTTATACCGAACTAATATTAAAATTTAAGTTCATTATATCCAAAGTTCATTATAAAGAGGTTCGTTATATCCAGAGTAGACTGTAAATTTTTATTTTTCGGTAACTTGTCTAATTATTTACATTGTATAATATTTCGTTTTAATTCGTCGCATTTGTTTGACAAAGTGTCATTTGTAATTGTATAACATATAATGTATGCAGTCATTAGACGAAATGTGTATTGTGCTGAAAAAAGTATCCGAGAAGCACGGTGAAATGATTCTTGTATTTGTTAATGAATCGATAAATAGTTATAGATAGTGATGGGAATTACTAATTGTTAATTATGAATTGTTAATGATAAAAAATTAAAAATTAATTAATAATTTAACAATAATTTCTAAGCAATTAATAAATGAATTATCCAATATGCATAGAACAGCATCGTAGAAAATGATCAAATCGATGATTTAATCAAATCGTTGATTACATCAATGATGGTTTGTATTTATTTAGTATATTCAAGGGGGTAATTAATAAATGTGCATAAGAACAATTATATCGCTATTACTGCCATATGCAAATCTTACCGTTATCACCATTGGTGATAGAAGACTTTCGTTACTGTTGGCAGTTATAGGAGGTTTGCTATACTGTTAGTCACTGTTAGTGTTATAAGAGGTTTGTCATCACTATTTGTGTATATGAGATTTATCATGTATAGGAGGTGAACGTACTGTTGGTGCTATAAGAGGTTTGCTACTACTGTTAATTTCTGGGTTTTATCTGCTATTCTTCCCAGAAATACAGTATAAGCAAAGCAAGGATGTATAGGAGGTTTACTGTCAGAGAATGTGCTATAGGAGGTTTACTACTATTGCTATACTTCCCAGAAATTTAAGGATAAAGAAATACTTGGTAATTATGCAATTTAGTTTATATTTTCAGAACAAAAAAATAATGTAGATATAATATGGGTATACTACTGAAAAATATTTTATTAAAAGTATAATATAGTAATTATTGTTGTGCAATTATTTAATCACTATATATATCACTCACTATATATTTAATCATCGTGCTCGCTCACATAAAACAAAAAAAAGTAAATTCTAAATTTTTCACATTAAAATCATTGTGCTCTTTGCTTGCTTACATAAAACAAAAAAATTATATTAAAACTCATTGTACCTGCTTACATAAAACAAAAAAAGGAATTCTAAACTTTTCATATTAAAATCCATTAAATTCTAAATGTGGCAGAAAACCTGGTCCTATTTGGGATCATTTTGAATAGGGAGCCTTAATTAATTTGATGCATTTTCAAGCAATATGTAGTTATTGCTGTGATCCAATATTGTGAGTTTCTGAAAGAATGCTTGATCATTTAAAAAATACTTACAGAAAAATTAAAAAAGAAGTACAAAACACTTTAGACAATATTAAAATCAACAAACAAAAAAACACCAAAACAAATGTGTTCAAGTTAATGCTTTTTTAGATGAAGAAAGCAATATCACCAATTCAAATCAAACCTTCCTATTAAATAATATTCAACTAATTCATCAACAATTATTAAGAGCTCTAATTTTAGCAAATGTTCCGTTTACCTTTGTAGAAAATGAAGAGGTTAAAAAATTATTTAAAATGCTACAATCTTTGTATACCTTACTATCACAAAGATGGATCAGTACAGAAATCTTAGATAATGTATATAATGAAGTAGAGTTGAAATTCAAAAGTTTGTTGATGATTCTAAATTTTTAACTTTATTAGGGGATGGATAAACAAATGTTTCAAAACATAGTTTAGTTAATTTTATTTTTACAAATTAAATGTGGCAAAGTTAAATTTGGAAAATTTCTGATTTTTCAAACCAATACCATATGGGTAATGTAATGTTTGATGCCTACAAAGATGTAGGAAAGTCATTAGATGATAAGTGAATTGGATTTGTGTCAGATAGTGGTTTGAATATGGCAAAAGCATGATGTATAGTTAATTACAATTCTAAATTACAAGAAAAATTATAACATTATCTTGTATGACACATCAAACTAATTTATTAGTTAAAAAAATTATTAAATCTGTGCAATTCAAGCCCATAATCTCAAAAATGCTTATTATAATTAATCATTTTCATAATTCAAATCAAATCGGGCTCTAGCTAAACTAAAAGAGCTAGAAAAAAATGAAAACTTAACTCCAAAATATTTTAGTATTAATAGATAGGCAATGTTTTCAAAAGCAACAAAGACTCTTTTATCAACTCAAAGTAGTATACAAATTATAGCTATTACAAATTTTGGATCTTTTAGCTATTAAAGAAAATAATTGTAAAAAAATAATTAATACAATTAAAGATACAAGTTTTTAAACAAAACTTGAAAAAATTTTCCATATATTAAAACCATATGACTATATAGTTAAAATTTTAGAATCTGACAAAGTAACACTTGGGCATATTTTTGTATGTTGGGCTGGCTTAGAAAAATTATTGACAAATTACCTAATGACGATGATTTTTTGGATTTTAAAGACCTAATATTTGATGAAATTGATAATAGATGGGAGAAAATTTACAATCCAATTTTTGTAATTACATGGTTCTTACATCCATATTATCATAGTGAAAGAATAAGAGAAAAGAGACTTTTGCAATTACAAGAAGATAGATATAGTCTATTTTGCTTATTATATTCAGAAAAAGATAATGATGCATTTATTGATAAATAGTTAATGTATCAAAATTATGAAAAAATATTTAAAAAAGATTTGCCACTTAACCATTCTAGTGTTGCCAAATTACCTTTAAGATATTGGCAAACTGTATTAATCCATGCACCAAATTTAGCCAATATCACTTGTAGACTTTTTTCTATACTACCAAACTTGGCAACATTTGAAAAGTATGGTCATTAATGGGTAATATTCATACAGAACAACATAATCAATTGACATCTTCTAAAATAGCAAAAATGGCAAAAATTGCCTAGTACTTAAAAAGTAAAATAGATAAAAATAGTTTGGCATCAACAACTAATGTGCTAGATAAAGATGCTGAATTAGATGATTGTAATTATAAAGTAGATGAAATATTAAGTGATTTAGAACAAATTTCTTCAAATATAATTGATAATATAGAAAATTTAGATCCAGATAATCGAAATAACTTACCAATTACTTCTCTTTTGGAATTTTTTAATCCTCTATTAATTCAAAATGTAATTAAACTCGATATTTAGCACTTTAGAAATAGAAATAGTAGTATAGATGTAGGAGCTAAGTATCGAAATTATCAACACAACATATTCTTGCTTACTGTATTTGGAAACCCTACAGCAAAAAGATGCATTGGGCCAAAAATTTTGATTCTGTAATTTTATAAGAATTATATGCCAATTACTTTAATTCTTCAAGAAATTGCATTTTTTTTAAAAAAATTTTTTTTGGCCCAATGCTACTTTTTGCTGTGGGGGTCCCCATTTGTAATATCATAATATATTAATAGATTATTAGTATTTTAATTATGATTTTTGTAACTTATAGATGAATTGAGCAAATAATCATGAAGATATTAAAATACTAATGGGTATACATTATCATTATGAACCTTATGGTTGTCAAAATGAGAGAGTGGTAACAGTAACAGAAATTCTATCGTTGTTACATATTTCTGCAGGTACACTTTTGTGAAACTATTATCAGGTGAAACTATAAAATTTGTATATTAGAGTACATAAAAACTATGATCAATCACTGATTACATCATTCTATCAATACTTTCTACGTGCGTATTTGGGATAATTCAATTATTAATTGTTAAAAATGATTTATTAATTTAACAATTCCCTATTACCAATTAATAATTAGAAATTCCCATCGCTAGTTATAAACCTAATTTTACAATTTTATGTGCGTCAGATTAATAAACGACAATATACCGGGTGTTCGATAAGTCCCTAAACAGGACCTTTTTTATATCTTTGCTAGTATTATATAAAAAGATTTTAACGATTACTAATTATTACATATTTTTATATAGTATAATAACATTTAATTATTTATTTAATGATTAAAAAAAGGCCCTGTTTAGGGACTTATCAAACACTTGGTATAGGCAGAATGAAATAAATTGATACGATTTTAAATGCTCGTATGAATAAATGATTGAAGCCGGAATATGAGCATTGACAAGGTAAAATGGGACTTCAGGTTTCAATTTTATTATTATTTTTACCAGGTTCAGCTCATGGAAATCTGATAGATTGTATATGGAACCCCGCAGCAAAGCGTTGCAATGAGCCAACCAATCAGGTTTCGAAGTTTTATAAAAATATATTTTATACTTCTAAAAATGTTTTTTAATTTGTAAAATATGCTAATAAAATGTATACAATTTAAATTCTTTTTTTCGTTATTATATAAAAAATATGTTCTTTGCACCGTTTTGATGATCCATGTTACCGTCAAGTTTTTCAAAGGTGAATCCGGTAAATAAAATTGAAAGCATAGGGTTCAATTTCTCTTGGCAACACTCATATAAGAATTATATAATAAATAAATTAATACTTTATTGACTTCATGATTAATAATAAATTCAAGAGCTCTTGAATATTTAATCTGCAAGGAAAATCTGTTAACACTACTAAAAAGTGTTGTAAGAACTATTATTGTTATACGGAATATGGTCAAGCAATTAATACTATTACTTTATACGAGAAGGTGAGCACGGTTGACAGAGTAGATAAATGTGTTAATAATATAGTTAATAAAATAAGTATAACAAAAATTAATCTGATTTTCAGACAAATCGTTTAAAATAATGCCTGCGAAATCTGATTTTTAATGTTGAAATTTGTATATCTCTTTTGAATATATTTGTAATTTAATCATCTGCCACAATGCAATTACTAATTCTAAGAAAAAAAAAACAACGTTCATAAAGTTTTTAACATTTGTAATCTTTTATTTAATGTGGTTCTTATATAAAAATGAAAAACTGTTCCGATACAGAATTAACATTAAGATAATGCCAAACTCAAATCTAGATACTGGAGTTTTATGTTATATTAAACAACAGTTCATTGAGCAAGATTGTGCTAAATTTTAATCCTATGTTGAAACAAATATTCGTAATGAGGTTTATTTTCGTTAATTATGTCATAAACATATTGAGGGTATTCAATTTCCTCATTATTATTAGCTGCTTTGTCAAATCCTGTGCTTTGCATTGCGTTCCTATTTTATTTATGATACGTATATAGTTAAATAAATTTACCGAATAAGAAAAATTAAAATGAAATAATAAACATACTTATGCCACAAATAATTTAAATCTGGAACATGATATAAGCCTGACATTTTTTTATCCCATATTTCCACTCTTTCTGCCTTCCATTCAAGCATTTCTTTCTTAAACTCTACATTGACCATCTCACAATATTTTCTTAAAATTTTCTCAGGTTCTCGAATTAAGTCATCAGCGTCCACTAATGCAATCTCCTCTCCAGTTACGTTCTTAATTAAATCATAAAGATTCCTTGATTCTTTGAGCCCAATTTTATCAGAGGAAAAAAGTTCAACTCTTTCAAAATTAGGCAAGCCGGCTTTATCCCAAGCTTGATATGTAGCATTTGCAGCTTTGTAATAAGATTTTACAGATTTTTCTGGGGTTCTAATTAAGAATGTATGCTTAAATTTTGAAAGAACTTCTTTGGATCGCAATGGATTTCCTTCTGATGCGTGTAAAAAGATGGTTGCAAGATCTTTTACAAAAACTCTTAAGACGTGAGTTTTATCTTCATTATAGTAATGAGGAGCAAGAATTTCATTAAGAGTAGGTGAGAAATGATGCACAAAAGTGATCGGATCATTAGGTTTAGGCGATGGAATTCTATTCAAAAATTCAAAGTTTTTGGTCATGTAAGCGTGACCAATTGGAACAAATGGTTCATGGATAACATGGAGTTCTTGAGGACGTTGAAGAAACGGTCGTTCGAAAACTGTAGAAAGAGACCTCGCGTGGGCCCATAGAATAATGGGTCTTTGATCTGTCATGTTAAAAAAAAAAAAAAAAGAGCAATTTACAATCCATTATTATTCCGTTAATCTATTTATATTTAAGGGTTTCTCAAAAGGTATTAATTATTATCCATATTTAGAGACAATGACGGATGTTTTTTCCATTGATTGCCTCAATACGCCAGCTCACCTTTAATAAATAATTGATTAAATCATTTGATATGGTAAATACATACGTATGTACTTGTAATTTTCAATGCTACATTTGACACACTCCATATCTAGTGATTCATTGAATACGTATACAGATTACTTGAGAATAACATTTTCCTAAAAGATTATAACTAGTAACTAAATTGCAACAATAGTGAATATGAACGGGTTAACTTTTTTAAAGCTTATACATTTGTATGGCAAAAATCAAAATTATGTGAAATTTGCAGATCAAAAAAAAAATAAATAAATAAAAAAAGAATCGATGATTTCTGACTTCCGATTTCTTACTATTTTTTGCAGAAATAAAAATAGTAAATCCATTATTTTCTAACATATTTGATTTAGTATCTTTTGTAGGAATATGATTTGCATATTCATCATGTAAAGAATTTGATTGTGTATTATTAAATTTTGGTTCTTTTTTAGTCCGATAATATTTACTATTGCATGCTGAGCAAAAAATTTAAAGTTGCATCAAATTCAATTTTATAAGAATTATTACATGATTCTAGGAAATTAATTGTTTATTGCTGAAGAATCATGAAATTAAAAGCATAAGGAACTTTAGTATAATTTTTTTTTTTTTTTTTGTTGGAAATATATATTTTTTTTCAGTTACAATAAGTTTTAGAAGTTGTGCAAAAAAGACAATTTGTGCATCCAAAGTATGTTCCTGGATAATAATTTAGGCCATTAGAATTTTTTTTAAAAAATGTATACTAACTAAATATATAATATTAGTTAATATACTTACGTCATCAGAAGTAATGTTAAAGAAATCGGAAATCATCGATTTCTTTTTTTTTGATCTGCTAATTTTGCAACCGCAATAATATATGATTTTAAATTTTTTAAGTTTGGCTTGGATTTAAGTTAGAGTTTATAAAGAAAGGGTAATATTTCGAATTAAAGTCCCAAATTTAGCATCATCGATTTTATCATCCGTAACAAATAATAACGGTATTTACCAACTCGAATAAAAAACATAAAATGCTTGATAGCATTCTAAAGGCAAAAGTTTATAAGCTATTTACTTTTCAATAATTTATGAAAGTTAAATTTATTATAAGTTTGAGTTGCTAATGCTCAACTTCACAAGCAAAATAAACGCAAACAAAAAATTTAAGTGAATTCATAAAAACCATAATTAAGAATTTGTTTTATAAGCATACAAATTCATGGTTAGTGTTTAAAAAGTGCGTGCATTAGAACTACAAAATTTATCTTTAAAGATATTTGTACCTTAGTCCAAAATTAAGATAAATCTATAGACGACAATAATTTAGGCTAAGTTTAATTATAATAAACCAGAATCGATTTTAAAAATAATAATAATAATATAAAAACGATAACAGCTCTAATTAAAGTAATAAATATCATAGAAATTTTATTGATAAACTTATTTACTAGCATAAATAAAAAAAATTACAGATAAAATTCTTAAATAGTTTATATTAAAAAAAATATAACCAAACATTTTTTAGTAACTATTCGACATGTTGTTACATTCCTACATTAAATATAGGAACATAGGTAGTTTGAAATTATGACATTTTCCATCCTTTAACTACTGTTAACACTGTCATATTTACTTTTATCCAAAGAAGTCTGGTTGTTACTAAAACATCTAAATAATTTAAATATAATGTTATTCAATAAAGCAATTGAACCAGTTAATAATGTTAAAAATGGTATAGCTTCATATTTGACAGTATATTCGAAATATAAAATCTGTAAATACGTATAAAAATATAAATCTGTGTTCATTTTATTATTTTCTACGCTAAATATTTAGTCGTTTCAACAAAAGCGTAAAAATATCGGTCTTGGAATTATAGCCTATGTCAAAAGTGCATATATATGTTGTATATATTATTTGTTGTTATTTTTCAATTTATATCAGTTATCAATTGAAGTATGTTATTTTTTAATTTTAAATGCATATTATGAAACTTAATATAATAATACAGTAGACTGCTGAAATAATTAAGTTCGGTTTATACTT